TATATATATGAGATTTAACAAAATATATTACAAGTATTTAACTGTATTTGTTTGTTGTAACTAGACAAGGTGAATCTGAATCCATAGTGATTGGTTGAACTATGAAAACTACGTTAGTCTGAATTATACATGGATCTTAGTTTGGTCTGAATTAATTTCTGGGTTAAGTAAATAGAGATTGTAAAAGAGAATAAGTAGGACAAAGAATATGGTTCAACTCCACTGTTAGATCACTAGGAAATACCATACTTGCATTTAATAAATTATTATTAGAAACAATTAACACTTTGATACAGCATAATTCAGAAAAATAGAAATTAAATATAATCAAAATTAACAAAATCATGTGTAACAATTTCTATCAATTTTTAATCTTCTCAAAATTATTTTACAATATTTTATTTTATTTTATATTTATAAAGTATAAAATATAAAGTAAATTTATAAAGTATTACCATACTTGCATTTAATAAATTAATATCAGAAACAATTAACACTTTGATACAGCATAATTCAGAAAGATAGAAATTAAATATAATCAAAATTAACAAAATCATATATAACAATTTTTATCAATTATTAATCTTCTCAAAATTATTTTACAATATTTTATTTTATATTTTATTTTATTTTATTTTTATTTTATTTTATATTTTATTTTATTTATTTTACAATATTTTACAATATTTTATAATATTTTTCATGTCTGCTTGAGTAAATACAATTTAAATGAAAATTTCTAAATTACATTGATATTTTATTAATATTAATTTAAAAATGCATAATTAAAATACTTGATTTATAAAATTACTGTTAATTATTATTAATATTATTAATAAATGAAGCACTTAACATCTTTCTTAATTTATGCATAGTATTAATAATTTATTCCTCTGTATGTTCGTGTCATTATCAAGACAAAGATGGAATAGAATTACTGGTTTAATTATCGACTATTTGCTATTCGACAGACGAATGTCGGAACGGCAGAATTCACTTTGCCTTCTTTATTTTTAATTGAAACTCTATTACAGTATTGAAGTTGAAATTGAACTTAAATTGGAACACTAATAGATGGAATTGTAGAACAGAATCGCGAAAGTCGGTCAATCCACCCCTCAATCAGTTTTCGTTTTTCACAAGCGCTGGATTATGTAAATGTCGTGAATTTTTATGAAAAATCGGTAATGGAATCCTAATTATAACGATTAAAAAATTCAGGAATCGAGTTCCAATATAAAAAGACTGCTTTAATACCTTCGACAGTATATGATGAGGATTATCAGAAATATCATGGCTCATAACTAATAATATGTTAGAGGAAAAAGTATTGTATACTGTTATATTAAAAAAGCAACAATATTATAAAATTATAAAATTAAATTACCCTGTCAAAATGTAACATCATTTAAATACTTTATGCCAATATTTTTTAAATTCTCAAACATACTTCTGTTTGTCATCATAAATAATGTTATTGTATAATAAAATAAAATAAATATTATTATTAATTATTATGTAGAATATATAGATACTAATAATATCAACAATTCAGTATTAAATATGTAATATAAAAATTAATACCTACTTAATTCTAATTTCAATAATTAATAAATTAATTTTAACCAATTGCATATGAATAAAGAATATTTAATTAAATAAATTTAATTAGTTATTAAGAAATGCATCTACAGCAATACGTAATTGTTAAGATAAAATAGTAAAAAAAAATTATTACAAAAATAATAATATTATAAATTACATAAAAATATTTAATACACGGGAGCTTAATTACTTAATTAGAAAAAATGCATCTACAGCAATACGTAATTATTAAGATATGATAATTTGCAAAATTTTCTACAGAGGTAATAACACACAGCAAGACAATTTTTCTTTTGTTAAACAATTAAAAATAAAACAATTGACCAAAGTAGATAAAATATAACCGATTGACAAAACTTGTGGAAACGAACAAAAAAATGAATAAAACTAATAAATGAATTTTTTTTAATATTTAGATTTTTATATTTTATCATACAAATTTTTATTTATTTATTGCCAATTTCTTTTTATATATAAAAATTAAATAACCAAAACTCTTAATTTTACATGAAGTAGATATAAATTAATAGGTACTACTATTATTGAAATTATAAGTACTACTATTAATAAATACTACTAAATATAAGTACTACTAAACTTAACATACTTAACATACTACTAATTATAAGTACTACTAAACTTAACAAGCATAGTGTAAAGTATATATAATTCTACAATTATCAAGCAAAGCAATAACAAAAAGTAAAAAGTAATTTTCAGTAAAAATACAGAAAATTACTCGTCAGAATCACCTACATACTATCATCGCATATAAATCTTAATTAATCTTAATCATACATAAAGCTAAATTTACAATAAAGAACCCCCAAAAAATTA